ACCAACATGTGCGAAGCAGTAGCGAGCTCCGTTGAGATGGAGCACTGTTGGCGCGAAGGGAAAGCAATTACTGAGCGGGAACACGGCTTGCGAAGGCCAAGCGTTTCAGTGGAAATATATATGAAACGTGTCGTCGATGTTTCACCTGGATTTCATGTGAAGAAGAGGGAGAAAGACTCAACAACAATTTGTGCATGCTTCACCAGAATAATGGAAAGCTAGTCCAAACGTCATGAATGTTTTCGGCACACGTTGCACTGAAGGCGGGGGTGTAATATTGACCAATTTTCGTGCGCAAGATCTTCGCTGAAAGAGTAGACATTCTAAACCAGTGGAAAGGAATTTATCAACGGAATAGTATGAACGAGTGACGCGTGAGGCGGCTCCGGATCATGCGAAAACACGAATTTGCCTTGTGAGGTTGGAAACGCTGGACCAGCACTTTACCGAGGTGGGGAATTTTGTGACCGATTTGGTGAGCAAGTGTATCCCCAAACTCTGGCAATTGTGTGACCACAGTCGCTTGAGTTGCAATTGAGCATGATGTGACATGCGAACCGGTTGGAATCTGACCTGGTTGGAACTGGTGGAGAGGAAGGTGACGAGCAGTCCGACAAGACGGGTACCGTGCTCGCGAATCAAACTGCCTAATCGGTAACTTGGATGAGGACTGTCACACGTTAGGTAATAGGTGGGAAATGTCTCGTCTCAGTGAACGCGCAATTTCCGCCCTGCTCCCGTACTGTGCCTCCACAAAGAAAGAGCACACGAGGTTCAGATGAACCCAGGTTACAACCTGACCTGAAGTGTCGTCTTGGCTGTTCGGTAGGGCCCAGGTCCGCCCGGGCCGTGACGGGCCGGATTCCGTGATCCGGAACTATCGCTTATGAACTTCCTAATATGGCCCAATGGACGCGCCGCCCAAAAAAGGAAAAGGGTTGAAGGAGAAAACCACAGCGTCGAGGATGCAGTGGTGGTACGAACCGGACCGGGATCCGGGTTCCGACACTATGAATTCCGGAATTTTGGGCGCTTAACGACTTTCCGCTCTGTTTCTGCGACCACCACCATCCTATTATGGGCCGTTCAGGCAAACCCAAACGGTAGGTGACGGTGGGCGTTCCTTATAAGGCTAATCCGGCGTAAGTATTCCTACGCTGAAGACCTTCCTACGGGCAATAGACGCCCCGCCATCTGCGCACGACGGCGTCGGGGGCGCGTACGCCTTCTGCGTCAACAACGTTGTGAAATTCGGCCGATCAAAACACCCGCGGGTACGGAAACAGGAATGGGAACGGCAGTGTCGCGGCGAAAAGCAAGTCTGGCTGGATTTCTACTGGGAGGTTCCATACCAGATGAAGTTCGGTGAGTTATGTTTGTATTTTTTGTCGGCGGCCGGACTGATCGCACAGAACGGATCATACACCTCGAGTTAAAACGGTTGGGGGCATGGAATGGGCGGGTGGAGTGTCCGTTTTGCGGGCGCAACCACCAGGAGAAGTTCTCGTTGCCCAAGTGTGGTGGGATCGCGGGTTTGGTGCGACTTGTGGAAGCGCGTCTGAACGCGTTGGGCTGGATCTGGCGTAGGTAAGGTCCCGAAATCAGCCCATTGCCGCTTACTGACGAGTCCTCAGGGTAAATTACTAGTGTACTAATGTAACAGCTGACGGGGGTGTTATCGTTACTCAGTGGACTTGTCCGTGATCGTGAGCGAAACGACGCCGCGCCATAGAGTTGTGTTGACATGTCCTAGGACGGATTCCCGAGCTGCAGCGACGGCAACAAGTGCGCGCAGTCGACGTCTGGAAGCTAAGTTCACTGTGTCGAAGAAGCGACGATGTAGCTAACGCGGATTAGGAGAGCAAAACACCGCCCTGCGGTTGGCGCGGGTGCTCGCTTTCCGCTGGACTGGGATGAAGGCGCTTAAAATTCCCGGAGCCACGTAATGGCCGGTGATTCCGTGTGAATATGGCGACGGTCGATTATGCCGCCTCCATTTATGCGGCGGTGAAGCCGTAGCTTCACAGAGGCGCTGTGCCGGTCTTCACGGTCTTGCGAGGTGGGTCGACGCCTTGGAAGTAATACAAATAAGGGAAGTCAAACCGAATTCGCGGGTAGATTCTACAGTTGGTTCTGACTGGATTGCCATGTGATTGACTATTGCATTCACAGACGCAAATTGATCAAAATCAGTGCAAGTGGATTCTAAAGTGGATTCAGATGGTGTTGCAGCTCCCGGGGTTGAGAGATGAGATTCAGGTAGATTCGAGTTGGATTCTGATGCTACAATGAACTTCAGAATCCAATTCAGAATCCGCTCCAGAATGCACCTCGAAATTGACTTCCCCTATTAGAATATCAGAAAATCGTGGTAGAGAGCGTGTAAGTATGGTATCACGACTGGTATATGCCTGTCCCACAGAAACCAAGAGTGCCTCCACATCGTTAAGGAGGGCGGATCAACGCGTAGGCTTAGCACTGCCGGGTCGTTTACACTGGCGTTGGAAAGGTCAACGTTTCGAAATGGGACAACGTTTCGAAATGGGACATGGAGGAGAGTGGAGGCCAAGGGCAGTTGGGGTTTCGGGGATTTGGCGACACGCCGCCGGTCGAGAAAGGACTCAGCATTGGGCAAATTCTGCGGTGGAGGAACCCGTTGCACCACTTGTCCGGTGCGTGGAATTTAAACCCGGGCAAGCGCTGAATATCGGAGAGGACGGTGTATCTAGAGTAACTGGCTAAGGAACGGGAACATCGAAGTAACGAAGTATACGTAGTACGGTGAGAAAAACGGGGGAACGGCGGGACCAATGCTGCACCTGGTGGAGACTAAAAGAAATTGTGATGTGTATGGGGCACGGACAGCGGTGGCCCACGCAGGAGCGATATGACGTCTGCCCAGGGTTTGCTAAATATTGCAGGATGACTGGGGTGCTCGATCCTGCGGAGCTTGGGAAAGATGGTACGCAAAAGGAGTGCCGTATAACGAGCGTTGTGTGAAGCTAGCGGTGAGTGCGCGATAGACAACGCTGTGAGCTGATGGGATGAAGGGCGCAGCACGTGTAGGTTGGGACCGAATGGGGTCCGGACGGAGATGGCAACAAATCGCAGGCGTGGGCAGTGCTGCGCGAGGGGGTACAGGCAGAGGGTGGTGAACGGGGTGTTATTCCCACACCCAGTGGCATTGAGCGTGAGGACGTACGCGCCGCCCACATTGACAGCCAAACCGCGGGCGCAAGACTAGGTATTTTGCGCGTGAAGAGTGACGAGCGGGAGCTTGCACCAAGCTACAGTGCGAAAAAAAAGAAATTGATCAGATCAGGAAGCAGGCATTGGAGGATTGCAGTAGGCGTGCGGCGGAAGCCTTGGAATTAGGCGTGAGTAAATAAATAGGCATTCAGATGGCAAATAGGTGTTGGCCGGAGAATAGGCGCTCGCGTGCGATTAAATTTAACTAGGTGTTCAGGCGGGAAATAGGCATTCATACGGAAAGTAGGCGTTCGCGAGCGCCTAATGCTACTAAAATTGTGGTGCCTCGCGAGTGGGCTTGATGGGCGATCCATCGGATCATACGTCGGAGGATACATCGGATCATGTATACAGTTTTACATAGGATTATATTCAACCCCCGATTAAATCCTCAACCCCGCGATTAAATCACCAACGCCCACGATTAAATCTCCAAGCCCACGAAGCCACGCCCTATTTGGCCCCACACTAGGTTAACGGCCCAGGGTGCGTACAGACTTGTTTATTTTTGGGACTACAAACAAACGCTCATTCATCATACATAGGATTGCGTACAGGTACCTCGCCAATCTTTCGGATCCAATACTCGATGGTCGCCGCTACCAACTCCAGCACCGCGCACCCCTCAGAGAAATGTTCGCGATGGCAAACTTTGCATCCCTGGCAGGGATAGGGCACTCGTTTAGCGCCGATATAGGCCAGCGTAAGGTGGGTAAGACGCTCTGGATCGAGTTGGAGGCTGCCGGTCCCAGTGAGTAAAGTAAGACCTACCGATGAGTTTTGGATGATCAGTCGCGTAATAAAAACACCAGAGGATCTCCTCGCCCTCGCATTTGGCGTATGCGGCGCGTCGAGCGTCGATGTCGGTGGTTTGGCCAACTTTGAGGTCGAGGTAATCGAGTTGCTCGTCGTCGGGGATGGTCGGCGGATTTGCGAGGACGTTCCAGTTAATCCGAATGTGAGCGTAGACGACCCCTGGTTGTTCGAGGTAGGGACGGATGTTGAGCAAGGCGTCACACGCGTCTGGAGGCGGCATTCGACGACTAGAAAAATGTTAGAAGAACTCACTGCAGGTGGTACAGTGACTACATTGCAGTGAGTATCTGATTGCGTGCGAGGTCGGTCATATCGGACACCGCATGGGATTTCCGCCACGGCATCTGAGGAAAAATGCGAGTGAGAACTGTTTGAGATGAAGGCATGAGCGGACGTACCTGGGTTCGAGATAAGAGCGAAGTGGGGGCAGTCGAGAGGGATCGGAACGAAGAAAGAACGAAAGTGGGGCGACTTACCGCGGATGTGGAAGCCAAACGAAGGGGAGAGACGAGTCCACGGCAGAGAAGGAGGAAGGCAGGTCAGAACTGTTTGAGAGAAGGATGACGGAATTGGTCGTTTTGGGAGTAAGTGCGAGGTGAGGCAGTTGAGATCGGAAAGAAGAAAGGCAGAAAGTCGGGACGACCTACCACTGTGTGAACAAAAGGAAGAGTGGAATGAATCGGCGCATTGGTCGACTCCGTCAACACTTTTCAGATCGGATATTCGATTAATTGTAGCTGCTTCGGATCTGGGCTTGCGAGCATGGACGACTGATCTCCTGTGTTGAATTTTACGCTGGACCCGCCTTATTTTACGATATCAAAGGGAGAATTGCTCCTTTTGGTTTTCCCACCTCCGAGCATTGTGAAACCTGTTTAGAAGGGACAGCGGTTTGCAAGGCTAAGACACTAAGCCCAGAACGTAGAGTGCTACGAGGCGATGTGGCGTACAGTAACGCGTCCCGGTCATATGCACGTAGCATACTATATTTCCGGGGAGTCGGGGGTTCAACTCCTCCCGTCGCCTTTTTTTTTTTTGAAGTGAAGAGCAAGCAGAAAATGGGAGGTGTAATTCGCTACCCCGAATTAGGGGTACCCACATTCATCTTTGAAGCAGCGCAGAATGGCCCTGCGATGAGCTTACAAATCTGAATGCCATCAATGCATCAGTGGTGGCGTGTTAGGCAGCGACGGTAGAGCTTTGCAAGTGCGAAACAGCCTGCGAGCGAATCGAGGTATAAAGACCCCGCTGCCTAGCATTTCCAGGCTGCAGCGGTTGTGCAAAAAGTTTCCGACGCGAAACGGTTTCAGCCGACTTTTAGCGTGCGCAAGAACTTCCACCCCAATCGGTCCTTTTGCGAACTTATATCACAAAAGACGTCCCTAATTGCCTAAAAAAATGGAAGATACCTCCATTTCCTGCAGGGTCAATCACACGAGGTAGAAGTGAGAACATGAGTATGTAATATTCCACAGATCCGACAGGTGAACCCATAATTTCTGGGTGATCGACTGTAGTAAATTGAGCTGGTCCTGATAAAATGAGCGTAACTGCCGACTTTGAGGACGCCGGCTGCTGTCTAGTGTGGACACGCGACCACTGATGCACGAAACGGGGGGAGGCACCAAACCCCACGGTACAAACAGTGATATCCGGAACGAAGTTTTAGTTTTTTCTTTAACTAATAGAAATTTTGATTTGTCTAAGTCTAATGGTGTAAATAAAGAAGTAGTGCGGGCAAATATTGGTCGCGGCCTGCGGGGCCGGGTTAGTAATAACGCTATACTCGACTAACCAACTAGTGACTCAGTCAACCTTAAACCAAGTTGGCAACGATGTATATATTAGACAAGACACCATTTGGGAAGTGGTTAACGACAAAGCGATCGCACACAAATGAGGGATCGGCATACGGTTTTTGCGACTATTTGAAGGCGGTACAATAGAGACGAGGAACTAAATAATCCAATCAGGCAGCCCCAAGTTTACGACATTCCCAAAGCCAGGCCATAAGCTCGATACCGCGAGAAAAATAAGTACCGCGTTGCGAGGCCCACGCCGCGAAGGCTTCCGGAGACAAGTCGGGTGTGATTTGAGAAGCGGGCTGCCATTCAGCCAAGACAAAGGCCCATACCGCCGGCGTGCGACGGATCAAGTACCACGCCAACTTGTGCATGTCCTGGAACGGACAGCAATTGGGAGCACCGACTGTGATCGAGGCAAATCTCGCATGCTCGGGATGACGGTGAGTGTCGGTAATTGGGATGCCACAATAATAACACGCGAACATCCGCGCCGGAAAGGCGATCTTGCGCTTGAAATCCAAGTACTCGGTCCAGCTGGCATCGGCGTGGTCTCCCGCGCACTGTCTGACAAACGAGCCAGAGTGTCCTTGGTGCAACTGCCCAGTGCTCGCCCAGCACCCAGCGCAGTGATCCTTCAAGGCAGACGTCATTTCGACAATGGACCCATGCATGGCATCCATGTGGCCGAGCTGCGCCTGTGCGCGAGCTGCAGAAAGCGCGACGGGCATGGCGGGCACGGACGGGACGTTGGGGGCCTGGGCGGGGATTAGAACAGGAGGGGCCGCGGATACACCGACGGCTGCAGGTGGGGCCACTGGGGCTGGGAGTCGCATCTGGAGGTTGGGTTGCTGAGACACGGGAGAATACGGCGGGGGCGGAGTATACGGCGGAAGCCAGGTGCGAATTTGGCGTGCGAGCGCAGATTCTGGGTCGCAGAGATCGCACAGAGAGGCGGCCAGATCGCGGCAGGACTGCTGAGAACCATTGAAAGTCTCGGTGATGATGTGGCGGCGGCAGATGTTGTTGTGCGCGAAGACGACTCGGGACTGTCGGAAGCACTCTGGATCAGGATCCTCTGCGGCGATGAGGCGTTGGGGACTGTTCCGGTGGGCGACGAGAAAGCAAAATCCAACCAGCCCCAGGAGGCGCGCAGCCCGGCCCCAGCCTTGGATGAGGCGAATCAGACCTGGGTCCCATTCTGCGAAGATGACCGCGAGGCAGCGTGGATTATCGACGCCATGGATGAGAGTGCCCGTCGCAATGATCCAGCGTACCTCCCCGTCCATCCACCTCTTCTCGTGCTCCTCGCGACCCACACGGCCTGCATATGAGCATACCGTCTCGATCCCGTGCGCGGTGCAATAAGTGTGGAACTCGTCAACTTCGCGTTTGGAGTTGAAGAAGATAATGCCCTGGCCGTCGGCACCTAGATGATTGGTGGCAAGGTACGGAAGGAGCTGCTCGAGGAAATCGTCCCGGCGATGGTGCGACTGGAGTGTGACGCGGTGTAAATGAAGATTCGACTGAGTGAGGGGCGCGCGAACGACTAGCGTATCGGGGCTCTGGTTAAGCAGCCTCCAGAAGATCGAGAGCAGGTGGGGCGGAATGGTAGCTGAGAGCCATATCTGTTGCAAAGCGACTATGGAGAGGTCGCGGAGATGCTCGAAGCCCGAACGGTAGTCCGCCTCCGTGAACAACTGGTGCGCCTCATCGTAAACAATGCGGTTGACCCAGCCCTGAGCGTCCTGCAGCGCGCTGTGAAAGCAGAAGTTCAGCGATTGAGATACGACAGCGCCTATACCCGGTGAGGACTTACCGCGCAAATTTTCTCGAGGTAATCGTTTCCAACGCGACGAAGACAAGCTGGGCGCGGGGGATGGGCCCACCTTGCGCGCTGGTCCAGACTGCGGTGGTGAGGCCCCGATCGGACGCTTTCTGGAGCTGGTCGCGGAGGAGTGCAACGTTGGGGCACATTACAACAGTGGTATGCCCTGGCTCATTTTCAGCGGCGACTCTGTATACCTCGCTCTTTCCTCCACCCGGCGGGAGGCATGCGAGAAAGTTCCGCTGGCGCTGCAGCGCGAGCGTGACGGCCTGCTCCTGCTGGGCGGACAGAAATTGCGCGTCGTCGTTGCGGAGACCCCGTCGCAGCAACTCGAGGGGGGTCGACGACCGCTGCGCCTGAGAAGCAAGGCGGTGAGCAAGGCCCAAACCGCAAATGGTAATTCGCACCTGGTTGGCAAAAAGGGGCTCGGTGGCCAAAGACACGGCCGCGGTTTGGGGCTGAGATAAAGCGTGAGCAGGGGTGAGAGGATATACCACCGAGACCGCGCACCGGCTCGACCAACGTGTCGTCGGTAGCAAATGACGGGTCTGCGCTTTCCGGCTGAGATGACGCATGAGTATCGGTGGACGAAGACGACGACCGAGAACACGCACCAAGTCGACGAACGCGTGGTCACGGGCAACGTCCTGGCGGAAGTTGGGAGGGTGGGCCATAGCGTGAGTTCGTGTGAGTGAAAATGAAGCAGACACTTACCCAAGGCTGTGGGTCCACATCCATAAACGGCGCTTCTTGGCGGAACGGCGGCAGTGCGATGTCTCGAGGAGCAAGAGAATTGGACGAGCGCAGGGTGGGCAAAAGTCCAGGCTCCGCTACTAGGACATCCATGAACGCGCGGGCCACCCTCTGTTGGATACTGTTTTCGACGCGGGCACCAAGTTCTTGCACAGACGCAGTGATCGACGCCGCCATATGTTCGAGCATGGTGTAGATGCGCTGGGACGAGTCGGGATCAAAGCCACCGGGAGCTACGGGGTCAGGCCCAATGCCTGGCACCTGTTGGTCGCGCAAAAGGTGTCTGGCCAGGATGGGACGCAGCGGAGCATAGCCAGGGCGTAGGTCCAGGACTTGGTGCCAGCTTAGATTATATGTGCGGTAACGAAGAAGCAGGTCGCTCGTAACCATCGGGAGAGTGCCCTCTTCGACAGAGTAAATGAGCATGGCAGTCCCAGGTTTGTGCCCGCGAAGCTCATCCAAGAGGTCGTCCTCTTCGGCGTCGAGCTCAGCGGTGGAGTTCAAAAAGATGCGGAACATCTCGACCTGAAAATCGAGTGAGTAAAAGTAGTCTATGAGGGAAGAACGACGCGAACCTGCATATGGCGATGCGCGAGAGTTTTGAGCCCGACGTCACAGTACGTTTGAGTGAACTGGAAGAGCAGGTGCGAGAAATGCTTGTTCGAGATGCGCTGGCGGTTGGCCACCCAAAGATACTCGTCATAAAGCATCGCTGTCTGCTCTTCTCCCGCGAGACGCAAAAGCTTTACGAGGGCAGGACGGAAAATTAAGATGTAGCGGAGGAACAGGTCGCGGATTGGAGCGGGTACGAGGTGCGGGACGAACGCGGCGTGGCCGACGAGGTTTTCATACTTCATGCGGCGGGTGACAAGCCACAAATCGCCCAAATGCATGAACAAGGTTCTGGGGCGGGTACTGTTTTTGATTTTGCCGTCGAGAAATTCAGCAACGCGGTCGACGGAGCAGGTGCTTGCAACGAAGGGACTGAAAAGGTTGGTAAATCCAGCGTCTTTGGTCACCAAGCGGTTAATGGAAGGAATATTGAAGTGCAGGGCGCCAGTGGCATCGGTCCAAGTCAGGTCAGCGTCTCGCGAATGCAAGAGATGCCGGAAGAATGAATCGGGCGGGATGTATTCGTGATTGTTGACGAAGCTGTACCCACGCTCGGTGTTGCTCCAGTTATCCTGAGGGGCGTCAGGGAGATTCAGCGGGACGTCGAACCCGAAGAGCAGGTCATCCAACGCCGTCTCTAGGTGGCCCTGCGCCAGCCGGAAACCCGCCCGATATTTAGCGACGCTGAGCGTCTTGCCGTCATGCGTTATATGCATACCGTCGGGCGAAACGAGCGTGGAGGGCGCACGAACGGTGGTGACAGCGACGGAGGACGCCCAACGCTGAAGGTCCGCAACAAAATTGAAGGGCGAGCTATAAGCAGCGCGAGCGAGGTTGTCTTGTGCGAGACGCTCGATGGCCCTATGGCGAGAGATGCATCAGCGAAAACGTGGCGGAAACAGAACGACGAAAGTACGAACGCCTCTAGAGGGATGTTCTGAGCAGCGGCCTGGATGTCCGCCTCCCAGACGATGCTGCACCGAATCAAATAGTGCGCGCGCGCGAGCGTTGGAGTGAGAGCGACGGCGTCG